CAATGCAAGATCCCCAATCAGAGTCAGTATAAGCTTGAAGATGAAAAGATTATTGAGAAGGATAAAAAGTCCATTACCTGGTGAACTTTTAAGGTATCTAAGTATCTATTATGTTATTTTCTATTTAATTTTATCACCATATTAAATGTACGTAGCAAAGATGATTTGGCTTTATTTAAAAAATAAATACCCAAATTTAATTGAGCATATACACAAATTAATTTTCAAGTAAGAGTATTCATTCGGCTTTATTAAGTTTTGTATACCCGGTATAGAAAAGTATTGAATATTTAAGTGGTTGAGATGGATATGAGATTAATGAGTAAAGGGTGTAGCTAATTATCAGAGTCTTGGCGTGGGAGTATAAAAATTGGTCGAGGTAGTGACAGATTAATGAGTAAAGGGTGTAAAGTCTTAAATATGATGCTTAAGCAATTTGTATCTTTGTAATGCTTAGGTTAGGAGGGAATGCCCTTTGAATGTTGTATATATTTTGCAGTTATGTATATATTATTTTTCATAAAAAAATTAAGGTGTCATGTGGTGTTCATGTTAAGAGTTGCTGAAAAGTGTGCTTCGAAATGTATAGTAGGTGTCAACCGTTTCATATGATTTATGACCCTATAGGTGCTTCTAAACCAAACTTAAATCTCATTCTTGTAAGCATTAAATATATTTTCAATTGGTTTAGGTACAACATATTTTTTCTCATTTTCTACAAAAAATTGTTTTTAATTCTTGTAAATTATGTTACTTTTTTGCGGGTAGTTATGGTACTTTTTTTAAAGTTCTACCTAGCACTACTTATATTTTTATTTTTAGAAGTCGTGTAGAAATTAAAATTTTAATATAAACCTCTTTTAAATGCTTTTGTATCGATCTTAAATTTTGTTGCATAACCAGAGCTTTTTTGGTGACCATGTTTTTCGGTTTACCAGGAATACTAATCAAATTTTTATCAAACATGTAACTTTTAATTTTGTGCACTGAATTATGTAATAATAATAATAAAATGTAAGGTTGAAGTTACTTTTGGCTGAAGTTACAATAGAGAATCATTTTAGTTATTTCTTATATAATTTTTTCTTAACTTGATTAATAAAATATATATTATTTTTTTCATAAATCAGTATAATGAACTAATTCAGCCACTTCACTGAATTTTATAAATTTCATCAGAATCCACCAATGCAACCGATATAGATTTAACCAAACGAGCTCTTATGTTCATATTTTTGGGTAACAGAAAGAAGAAAGTTTATCTTATAGTGTAAATGAGAACATATGAGTAAATAAAAACAAAAGATGACACCACATCCCTGAGATCTCCTCAACACCGACCGAACGACACGATGAGGATGTAAATTGGACTATAATTACAATCTGACAGATAGAAAGTGAGGCTCCGTCCCCGATACTTGCAAATGTCATATGCATTTTTAGTATAATAACCTCGTATCACATTTGAGCTAACCTTTGTGGCACTCCTTCACTATCATTTGAACTACATAAATAAATAAATCAAACACTATCTCAGTAGCGAAGTGGAGTAAACTGTGAAAGTGTGAAAGCCAGAAGGGTAGGGCCTAAGGCTCCGAGGAGCACACGAATTAGTGTACTAAACTTTGAAATTGCAGAGCCTCCTCATCGAAAGAGACAGGAGATGGGACTTGCTCTTTTGTCTTCTTCTACCATCTTTTTCACCTCTCTATCTTACCGTTCTTCTGTTTCCACATCTCATTATCACCCTATTTTTCGTTTGACATTAAATAGCGTACATACAAATCTTAATGTGAATGATGATGTGTATAATTAAAACTAATATAGTCATTCAAGGCTCTAAGACTGAGGTCTTGAAGTTTCTTATATTCACCCCAACAAGATTATGTTTCCTAACACGTTGATTTAATTATTGATTTAGGGCTTGTATATGGATTTTTATCAATTAAGGATCTTAAAAATAGATTAATTATCAATTCAAGACCCGAAAAATAAAATGTATTGATTTATTTCATCGTAAGCAGTTAACAAGATAAATTACTCTAGAATTTATTCCGAACCATCATAGGTTTTAATTTATTTATTTGTAAGCAGTTAACAAGATAAATTACTCTAGAATTTATGCCGAACCACTTTTTTAGATGAATAAAAATTGTACTGTGCCTCCGTGCGCTGTTCAGTGCAAAAATTTCCTCACGATTTGACAGTTTGACAGGCGTCCTTTCCTTTGGTAAGGGCCAGTGGTACTAATCAGCTGAATTCTGAAGATACTTTCAAAAGGAAAATATTGCATAGTGCTATAGTACACTAGTATTCACAAAAAAGGTAGCCTCCCTAAAACAAAGTAGCCTCCCGGCCTTTCATTTTTAGTTGGCTTGTGTTTTTTGTTTAATCAGATTACACTTAAAGATGAAATCAAATTCAAATTAGGTTTTATAAAATACACAGAGATAAAACGTTTATCAGATCAAATAGATCAATTCAGATCAGATCAGAATTAAACAGAACAAAAGAAACCAACAAATTCAATTCAAGTAAAAAACATCATTGGACATATAAATTTATTCACCATGTCAGGTCGGGCCATCCAACAATTGCATATGGGCGATCATGGGTTAGGGTGTATGTACGTTGAGGCCTATAAGCCCGATTATGAGTTTCCCGGCCACAATGTCGTATTGCCACTTCAATTTGAGGTTCTTTCGCATGGAATTTTCGATGGAATTTTGTGAGCATATTCTTCATGAATTTTAGATTGTGTCTGAAAATTTTTAACTAAATATTCATATTGAAAAGACACTTAAATAAATTAATGAGAATAGTACGTTTATATATATTTTTGGCGGAACTTTTTATATATAAATTATTGAGTTCTTGACTCCAATACACGTGATTGGGTGAGAGATATACAAGTATTAGGAACCAACCTTGCGACTCGAAGGTTAAATGTTCAAGTCCCCCGAGAGATCTATGGTGGAATAATTAATGCCAAGGCTATACGTAGGTAGCAGCGTGGGAGGTTGATCCCAACGAGAACGAGGCTCAATAACGTGCGAGCCCTTTGGAGTGACTCCTTGTTAAATTGAAAATTGACCAAGGATCAAAATTTGTAGCCTTCGCGTAGATCTCCTGCATGTTGGACTGTACTTCTGATGCGCACGGACACAAGAGACATCTCCTGAATCACCATGACTTACCATCTCGTGAAACTGTTGTCAAGTCCGTAACTTAATATGCAATCTCGCGATTTAATTGGAGACATTTAATTCTAAAGAGCAATATTGTAGAACTTGTCAAATCTCGTTTCTAGATAATACTTCGTATAAAAAAGTAGGAATGTGCACGACCTGTGTAACTATCGGAACTTACCATGGATTGTGTATGAGATGCATCCAAGAATCTTTTGATATTGTCTTGGTGCCTATTTTAAGAGAATCAAAGGATGATATCATACTATGCTATGCTGAAATTGCTACAAAAATTTCAAACATCTATGTACTTCTACAAACCTATTTTTAATTAGAAATAATTACACAAACATGATTGAAATAAAGATCGTTGACGAAAATGTGACTAATGATTAGAGTAGTAATGAAATCACAGTAACTTATGTTCAATTTTTAAATTTAAGTTATCATAACACGACATTATAGTAAATCTTAGTCATATTTGTGTAAATAAGTTTTGTTTTTGTAAAAAATCCCTTTCAAAATGAAAAGTTATTTCCAATAGATTAAAATGAAAATCAAAATATAAGAAAATAAATATTTCAAGTCTAACGTTCAAACAAAACCTTAAAATGCAAAATAGATGAATTCTTACAACCTTAACTAAATTATAAGGTATGCATCTTCTTAGAGCATCTCCAATACAAAAACGTGAACAGTGCATACGCGACACGAGAGATAGCCAATTAAAAAACAATAAATATAAGAGATATCACTCAAAATGGGACTAAAAATGTTTGGATATTCCAAAATAGGACTTCCATGTTTTTATTCCCAAAATAGGACTAATTACTGTCATGTTTTGGCAGTAACAGACTTCAAACATGACAATATTTTCCAAATTTGGCAGTAATTAGTCCTATTTTGGGAATAAAAACATGACAGTCCTATTTTGGAATTTCCAAACTTTTTAAGTCCCATTTCGGGAACTTTCCCTAAATATAATATTTCTCTCCTTTTTTGAGCGGTCTTATATGTTTTTGATAAGTTTTTTCACAATGTCAAGCACAATGTCTAGATGTAGACTTTGTGATTGACATAAAAACTTACCGAAAACACATAAGACCGTGGAAAGGAGAGATAAATATCATAATTTAATCTTTTGTGTCTATCTTTCTCATGTCACATGTGCACCATGCACGTTGTAGCATATACTAGTATATGAGATGCTCTTTTAGTAGTTAAAATACGTCGATAAAGTCTAGTTAGTTTTATATATGTGAAAACTAATTAGACTAGACTCATAATAAATAGAAATTAAAGTTGTAAAGAAAAATTAAATAGATATATTAGAAGAGTAACAAAGTGTACTACTACGTATTTTTTACCGTCATAAAAAATATTACCTCCGTCCGACTAACATTGAGACAAGAGAGGGTGACACAGTTATTAAGAAAGGTGTGTTTTATAAAGTAATAATAAAATAAAAGTGATTTAGAATGACACAAATTTTATAAAATTTTGTATGAGTTAATCTTAAAGAAACGGACCAAAAATAAAGATGAAGATAATCTTAGTGAGATGGAAGAAGTAATAATAAAATAAGTTGTATGAATGATGATTGTACAAAGTAGAGAAAATCATACTCCAATATGAATCACAGAGAAAGTGACTAAATTAATGGAATAATTTAAAAAGGAAAAGTAGACAAAATCAAAGATACAAACGAGCATGATATATTAATCGATCGGGTTTAATTACAATCTGGTCTTAGCTTTTGTAAATTTTTTACCCAAAAAAGCCCTTTAACAGTGTGGATCTCCAGGAAAGTATGTATGTTGCTTTGTTTAGGATGAACATGTGAATGATTTTTCAACTATAAAAGTCAGGGATAAGAGAAATGCTAACAGCCGTGCAATTTTCAATCACCACAACCACTCTAGTAGCTTCAATCTACATCCTCTTAAAAGTATAAATCACAGAATTCGAGGCATTGCTGCTTTCTTTAATCATTAATCCCCATCGCCTTCTTCCTTTTCACAGAACAATCTCTTCCTGCATTCTTCATGTCTATACTGTATAGTTTCTAGCAGTACAGTACACCCACCCATACTGATTTAACTTCATTTCCTCTCTCTCTCTCTCTAAGCCTCTGCTCTCTTCTGCAAGGAGAAGACTAAATAGTCAACAAAGAACTCAAGATATGGATAGTGGGAGCATCAATGCATTTGATACTACTGGTGTTATAGAAGCTGTTTGGATTTCAAACCCTCAACACCACCCTTCTCTCAATGGTAATTTTAATCTTACACACACCCAAAATGCCAAAGTTTTGACCTTTTGTAATCATTTGTTTGCATTCCTTATATGGGTGGTTTTCACTCTTCAAGTTTCAAGTCCTTTCCTAGGATATTCTTCTCACTTTAGGGGTTTTCTATATTTGCAGTGTGGGTAGAGATGTTTGGGGTATTGTTAGTTTTATTCAGAATTGGGTTTATGCTTAGATTCCAAGTTAATGGTTGAAGTTTCACTTTCTGTGCTGAAGTGGCGGGAGTAAAGAGACTAGATTAATGAGAACAATAATGTTCTATTCCTATTAGCAAGAAAAGGGAAACCACACTTTTTAATGCTAATATTTCTTTTAGAGATTCCCAAACATTTCTTAAAGGAGACATTTGTATGCTCTTTTTTTGGTCATGGAAGGATTCTGCTGTCATATATGTGAGTTTGTATTTTTGTACTATATGAGTTGCTCTAAGGGGGTGACTTATCTGTTTGATAATTCTGTGTTTTAGGCTGTGCATCACCAGTGGACTTTGAAGAATCAGAACAAGAAATAGTGAAAGAGCAGCCACTGTTAACACCAATGGACAAAGAAGATAATGGCATTGAGGAGTATGAAGGTTGCTTTCATCGGCCCGAGAAGAAACGGAGACTTGCAGGAGATCAGGTCCGGTTTCTGGAGAGGATATTTGAGGTAGAAAGCAAGCTTGAGCCTGAGAAAAAGCTGCAGTTAGCAAAAGAACTCGGCCTGCAGCCTAGACAAGTTGCAATTTGGTTCCAGAACCGGAGAGCCCGTTCGAAGGTCAAACTGATTGAGAAGGACTATGATTCCCTGAAAGCTAACTTTGATAAACTGAAAGCTGATTATGATTTCCTCTCCGAGGAGAACAAAAATCTAAAGAATGAGGTAAAACCATTACCATCCTCTGCTTGTTGGACACCCGTCCTGATTTAAGATCTGACAACCAAAAGATTCTTAATCCCCTCACTTTGACCTCACATTAGTTGAGGATCATCCTGTCTTCCATCCCACACTTAATCATCAGATACACCGAGTTCAAAAGTCAATATGATAGGAGTAGTACAAAATTTTATCTCATAAGGGAATATGTCTCAACACCCTTATATCTGAAACATGCACTTTTTTGTATGAGGCCAACAAAGTGGCTACAGATTAGATTGACATTTGAGTTCATCCTAAAAGATGATAGAAGGAATAACCTACTTAGGGTGTAGCACAATATCTTATACTACTATTGTTAGTTTCTAAGATCTATTATACAAATGTATTACATGTGACGAAAGAAATACTCACAGAATCTATTATACAAATGTGTTACATGTCAGTATTGCGTTTGGCGGTGACCACAATTGCGCGTTAGTTTCTAAGATCTATTATACAAATGTGTTACATGTCTCAAATTATATTGGTAAGATCATCCCGTCGACCTTTGCTCTTTCATGATTTACCTACAAATTGTTGGTTGTGTCTAAAGGAGGGTAAGGATGTGTTTGGGATGCAGCATTCTAGTTAAACTCAAAAGCTTAACATGTTCTTGACACTCTTTTTCATGTTTTATAGGTTCAGCTGCTGAGAGATAAATTGCTCATTCAGGAACAACAGTGCAGCGCAAAATTCGAACCGACCCATAAAACCAGCACATATAATGATGACAATGAACCTCACATAGAGCATTGTGCTAGTTTGATCTCCCCAAAGGGAGAGAGATCTCCAGTGGTGTGCAAGGATGAAAATGCAAGCTGGGTTAAAAGTGATATTCTTGATTCAGAAAGTCCACATTGCACTGATGGGAACTACTCTTCATCACACATATTGGAGTCTGATTTCTCTCAGGATGAAGGTGAAAGCCTGATCAGCATTTTCCAGCCATCTTGCCTGCTCCCAAGACTTGAAGAAGATCATGGACACCAAAGTATAGCAAGTTTGTGCAATTTGGGGTTTTCCATTGAGGACCAGACAGCCTCTTCATGGTGGAGTGTTGGCCTAACTGAGTACTGACTACACCTTTCAAGTCATAAGGCATAGCATATGTAGTCATCATTTTACAACTCCTACTTCAAATCCTACTACGTTTCTGTATGGCATAACTGAAAAAGAGGTTTAAAGGAACCTAAGGAAGCTTCAACCTGGAGCTTTAAAAAAATACCTCTTTTTATTATATGTTGTATTATTTTTCATTTTGAAGTACATAATATGAATAAATATTCATGAGATGTGAGTTTTTTTACAAACAATAAACATTTATAATAGGGAAAAGGGGCAAATAAGCTATCGAACTAACAAAAAAAAGTGCAAATCACCCCTTATATAGGAAGCTCTATCCGGACGTCGCCATTTGGGGAGGTTCCCTGTGGAATTTTTTGATTAAAATTTTTGAGCATCTTATTCATTAAGTCTAGTTTACTCTTACCAAATTTCAGCTAAAAATTCAATCAGAAAGGCAGTCAAATGAATTTTTGAAGATAACTGCGCATTTAAACAGCGCAATATATCTCAGAAAATCATTTGACTGTCTTCCTGGTTGAATTTTTAGCTGAAATTTGGTATGGATAAACTAGACTTACTGAAAAAGATGCTCAAAAAAATTCATCAAAAAATTCTACCGAGAACCGCCCCAAATGACGACAGTCAGACAAAACCTACTACATAAGGAGTTATTTGCACTTTTTTTGTTAGTTCGAGGGTTTATGTGCCCTTTGCCTTTATAATAATACTATCGTAATTGAAAGCGAAGACTCTTTACTAAAAAGTTAGCAGAAACACCCGCCAAAATTACAATCTTACAAAGAAACGGTGGCATGGGCTCAATTGAAATATGGGTTCTGTGATTTGCCAATGACTGAACATGGCTAAAATTAATTAATACGAGAGAAAAAAGTAGTGTTGGATAAAAATATCAAAAAGCGTGTCTGAAAATGATTATCATGTTCTAAGTTCTAACATAGGATATTATTTTTCTAAAAAATGACATGCACATCACTAACAAAGTTTTACCGAATAAAAATATGATTAGTTATGTTTTAAACAAAAATATGACTAGTCATTGTGCACGAAATATTATACAAATGTCATTATAATGTATTTCAAAGTGACAAGTTACTAGTAAATGATGAGTCACTAGAAACTAGTTACCAAATTTATCATTTTTTTGGAAAAATTCAAAACAAGTCATGTTTTTGTCTTTTGAATTTAATTTAATACGTAGTAATATTCATGGAAAAAACTTTCTTTTTCTGTGTCGAACCGCCCTCAATTCTAATTTTATCTACTAAAATATTATCACTTTTTATTTATTGCTAGTCTCATTAAACTAGCTACTAACGAGTTTTTTTCCGAATTAATGTTAAATAAAAAATTATTTACGAAATTAAAGTTAGATTAAAAGTATTTACCAATATACTGCTGTCATGGTAGAATAAAGTCGCCAAACCGTTTGGCGACTTCAAAGTCGCCAAATGGTTTGGCGACTCTTGCATCCAATTACCGAATAGGGAGGCAGAAAAAAAAATAGGAAATCATACGTACGTAGGGAGGCAGAAGCTTAGCTGCTGCTTAGGCAAGGAAAATAGGAATTCATACGTACGTAGTATAAATAAGTGTGGGCCGCATTAGATATAAAAACCACTTTTTTCTTTAACAGCCCATAACTTTTTCGTTTTTGTTCCACTTTTTATAAAAAATATACCAAAATTCATGTTTATTATCTTTCATTTAACACTAATATTAGATATATAAACTTTTTAAAAAATTGAAGGCTTATTAAACAATATTCATATTTTCCCATCTCCGTACGGATGATTTAAAAAAAAATATTACACATATATGACTAAAGTAAAGATTGTTTAAAAAATTGTGACTAAGATAATAATGAAATTATAGCAATCTATGTTCTATTTTAAAATTTAAGTTAGCATGACACGGAATTGTAGTAACTATTAGTCATATTTGTGTAAATAAACTTTATTTAATTTAATTTTAGCAAAATAAAACTCTTATTTAATATTCTATAAACAAATAATTCCTAAAAAGACAATGTCTTTTTAGATAGAAAACTCTTATAGACAATGTCATTTTAGACAGAAGTTTTCTTATAAGCATGATAAGTCGAAAGACATGATCTAAGCCTGATATATATAAGAGGAGTCTGGGGAGGGGGCTGGGGGGAGCCTGGAGTAATTAGGGTTTCGAACTCGAGACCTTCCACTGGGCACGGACGGCACGGTAACTTCACAACCAGCTGATCTGGAATGCTTGGTTTTAGTTATGAATATACTTTCACGGCCACGCTAATATACTACTTATAATTCAAGCATAATTATAGCCTCTAAAAATTACCAAGTCCCGTCTTCATTCCCTATATTTACTTTCGTCATATAATAGGAATTAATTGTTTATATAATATTAAATAAGAGTTGTTTTTCAAAAATATTAATAAAATAAAGTTTATTTACACAAATATGACTAATAGTTACTACAATTTAGTGTCATGCTAACTTAAATTTTAAAATAGAACATAGATTGCTATAAATTCATTACTATCCTAGTCACAATTTTTTAAACAATCTTTATTTTAGTCATATATGTGTAATATTTTTTTGAAATCATCCGTACAGAGATTGGAAAATGAGAATATTGTTCAATAAGACTTCAATTTTTTTAAAAGTTTATATTTCCAATATTAGTGTCAAATGAAAGACAATAAAAAATCATGAAATTTGGTATATTTTTTACAAAAAGTGGAGCAAAAACTAAAAACTTATGGACTATTAAAGAAAAAAGTGGTTTTTATATCTAATGGGGCCACACTTATTTAGGCTACGTATGATTTCCTTGCTTAAGCAGCTAAGCTTCATCCTCCGTATTTGTAATTCGATGCAAGAGTCGACAAATCATTTGGCGACTTCAACGTCGCCAAACGGTTTGGCGACTTTGTCCTACCATGGTTAGATCCGGCAGTATATTGGTAAATACTTTTAACCCGACACTAATTTTGTAAAACAAATTTTATTTAACATTAATTCAGAAAAAAACTCGCTACTAACATACAAAAATAAGCAAACTTTGTATACATGTAGAGCCTGTTCGGTGGCCCAATTTTTTGACTTATATGCCTTATTAGTCAACATTTTAACCAAATACGTAAATTATGATTTTGTACGCTTAATTGTATAATAGTCAAAATAAATAAAGTTAAAATTACTTCTTTGGCTGCATTAATTGAAGCTGCTGTAGATAACCAATTTCACTATTTTTATATTTTTTTCATTGTATTAATAAAATATATTTAAATTTTTTTCTTCATAAATCAGCAGAATCAGCCTTTTACATCAAAATTTCATAATTTTCAACCAAATCAACCGATTCGATCGATTTCAGTGTTACCAAACAGAGTCTTAACATACTAACTTTATAATTTAATTTAATTTATTTGTGGTTTTAACAATGTCTCTTATAAAACTTTGTTACTTTTCATTATATTTTGTGCATTTTTGTTTTCATTATGATATGTTAGTATTTAGTAAAAAAAATCATATTTGAAATGTTTTTAGATGTTTGTATTTTGTAGAATGGTTCAATAGGTATGATAAGGACTGGTGGTGAGCAAAAAAACGAGAAAATGAGACCGACTGAAACCAATTGATCAAAATCCAACTAAATAAACCAAAAACCGACAGAAAACTGACAAACCCATCAGTAATTCGATTTACAGTTTATGATTAAGTTAAAAACTGACTGAACCAAAATGGACCGACAGTGCTAAAACCGACCGAACCGATATTGATATCAACTGAGTGAAATTAATTGAATCAAACTCAATCCAAATCAACTCAAGTTATGCAATTCGATTCGCGGTTTCACCTTTTCTAAAATAGAAGTAACAAAAACTCTTAAATAAAGGTACCTTCTATTTCAAAATGAATTGGAATCAAACATTTATAATATGTATCCAGTATCCATACTTGGGAGCTACCATTTCAAAATACACCGTGTGGATATTAACACAGAACATCATATTGAACTCTACAAAAAGTACTCCCTCCCTCCCAATTTGATGTTCTTGTTGCGTTTTACGATGTTTGACCGACGATAAAGCAAACAGATCCTTGTTCGCACTCATATATTTTTGAGAAAAAAAAATTATATATTCAGAAATTACATCAAAATCTTTACAATGTAGCAAAAACCTGAATCAAATTTGATATAAAAAGTAAGAAATTAAGAGTGATTTGTATAGAATAAGTGAATAGAAACTGAGAACATCAAATTGGTACCGAATAGAGGTAGTAAGAAGTAGGGGTGAGCATGGAACGGTACGGGACGGTTATTTCAAAAAACCTGTCCCGTCCCAAAGTACGGTTCTTTTAAAAATCAAGAACCGGTACCGTCCCGCACATATATGGAACCTGTCCCGTTCCGTACCAATTTTGAGCACGGTTCGGTACGGTCCGGTACGGTTCTTCGGTGTTATTTGGTTCGTAAATAATTAACCCCCATGAAATACAATTAACCCTATTTACATAGCATTGTTTATATCATTTAGTATTGTTTTTGTTTTAAAGCTAACTTTTAGTGCTGTCAAGTCTTAATAATTGGATTACGCCCAAAGAATATGCAAGATTGCATATTTGTAATACATGAACACAAGATTCCTCACACTTATACTTGGTAATATTTATATATAATAGGAAAAATTGACAAGAATAATCCCACCATTCACTGGTCTTCTACTAACATTTTCGGGACATATGGTCACTAACATTTATACTCGTTAATATATTATGTATAATATGTTATTATAATCTAACACTAGTTTTCGGGACAATTCGGGACGGTACGGGACGGTTCGGGACAATACGGTTCCGGGACGGTTCCGGAACGGTTCTCACTAAGAACTGGTACCGTACCATATTATTAAAAAAAGCCCGGTACGGTACGGTACGGTTTTACATTTTTCCGGTTCTATCGGTTCTGGAACGGTTTGGGACGGTTCTTCGGTTCGGAACGGGAATTCCCAGATCCGTGCTCAGCCCTAGTAAGAAGTTTTTTAACATTATCTCATAATATAAGTCAAGAAGAGGTGGCACGAGTTTTCAATGAATTTTAGAAAAACGTGTCCACCTAATTGTATCTTTGTTCTTTGAACCAGCAAATAGCTTTTCCCCTTTCTCTAATTTTTTTTGTCAATTTTGACTTACACATCAAATAAGAAAACAATGTCATGAATGACCTACGTGAAAATTACTAGCATTCAACATTTTGAGCGTGTTTCGTAACACTATTTTTAGGCTTGACTTATCACCCAACTTTTCACTAAACACGTACCTTTTGATTCGCCCGTTGAATTGTATAATAATAAGAAAAAGTAAGATTGAAATTACTTTTCTGGCTGTATTGGCTAAAGTTACTGTAGATTATCATTTAACATTTTTTTTCTTATAGTTTTTTCTTTATTTTATTATTATAAATTATTTTAAATATAATTTATTCATAATTCAGAAAAATCAATTAATCAAACCATTTCAGCCAGATTTTCATAAATTTTAGTAGAACCAGCCGATTCAATCAATTTCAGTGTTACCAAACGAGCTCTTTATCTTAGTAATTCACTCTTGTGTTAATTTTTCTTGGCCAATTTAAAAGTATATAGAGCTTTTTTTTCGTTTATTTAATTGATATCCTTTGTTGATTTCATTTGACTCTAAGCTAGAAGTCTAAAAATCGGTCTTGATGGTATAAGAAGGAGATTCAACAGTGGTTAACGATTCAAAATTTTCTCTTAGAATGATACTAGTTATTTAACGCGCGTTGCGCGTTCGTGGTAATGCCCAAGGCCATTGCAGGGATATTAATTCATCGATTTAGGTTGAGTCAATATATGAGTAATATGAATATAATATTTGAATACATAGTTTGTTAATTATTGATAAGGAATCATAATCAATAAAGTATCTATAGGATAGATTATATTAGAGAAAACAATCCATTAGGCGATATTAGAGAAAACAAAGAGAACAAATCAGAGGAATCTAAAGGTAACTTAATTCTGCTCTTTTTTTAGACCGAGCATGGCTTCAAAACAAAGCGGCCAGATTAATAAGAACTATAGCAAAAATTAACACCGGCAGGATCTCTGCAAATCCATACTTCAACTTATCTACAAAGTATGATATGTTGATAACCTTGCTGGAGAACAAAAGATAAAAACTTCATCCTGCTACTATTCACTTGGACTTCAGCCCTACCATTATTCAGTTCTTCGCTTTTGGTCAGTTAAGATTCTTCCTTAGAGAAAAAACTTGGTGGTAGACAAAAATCTTCCTCCTGATTCAAAATTTCTACATCATCATCTGCCTCCAGCATTTCCAAGTTGTAAAAGCGATCCAACAGCTTCAGAACTTCATCAGCACTGAAGTGCTTATTAAAACTTCTCCTCAGATATTCTGTTAAACCATAAAGGACAAAGTGATGATGGATTCCTTGAAATTTTGCAGGATGATAAATTTCAAGAGCTTCTAACACCCTCAGCTCCACTTCCACTTCCAGCTGCTCCTTGGAGAGAGATGAAGGTTGAGATTTGTAAGGGCAATGGACGGACAAGACATCCTACTCCTCTTGAACTTCTTCTTTTTCCTCCTCTTTAACAACTTCTTCCCTCTTACGCTTACCTTTGGTGCCTGTGTTTTGGCCCATTCTTGTGAGCTGTTGTGATCCTAATTCAACCTGGATTTTTAGTTCTGAAACTCTGAATACCCGGCGCCCAGCAGAACCTAGTCTGTTTCTAACTCCATATTGTGAGCCACTTTAATGATGTCGCTTATAATTACTTGGAACACTACATGTACTTGGGTGTAGGCATGTTTTTTCACAAAAATGCAGGTGGATGGTGTAATAGGATGTCACAAGAATAATGCTAAATGTAAAGTAAGCATGTGAACGTTTGATACCCTGAATATAGTTTTTTTTCAAACTTAAACATGCCCGCATGAGTTTTTTTTTTCGGAGTAAAATAATGCAATCCTACGACTTCAAGGAGAGGCAGACATGCAAAATCCTTTTTGAAAAATATGAGCACACGTGTGAGCAGGTCCAATGCCAATGACATAGCTAACATCTACACAAATGGAGATATAATAGCCCTTAGTGGTCATACAATCACGTCCAATGCCAACCCATTCGAGTTAGATAGAAAAATAGCTATTTGAGTTGAAATGTAAAGGAAATTTGCTTGGAATTGATATCAAGACTTGCATTGAAGGCAGAAGATTGGGGGCAGCAGAAGGGTGAACCCTCTCCAGCCTCCATTCATGGCGCTTAACGAACCAGTGATGTTATACCATAGTTATCATAAAGCACTGATGACAATCTTTATAAGACAAGTAAGAAGAATGCTCAGAGTTCCAACCGAACCACATCCTTAAAGCATCACAATATAATGCAGCTGTACAAACATACCCCTTTGGCCAAAAAATTATTACTCTTATAAACATGGACAAATTCAAACCACATAATGTCATTTTTGAAGGACGAAGCAATTATTATTATTAGACAAAATGAAGGATGCTTTGGCAGATAGATAAGAAAACCTAAATAGCTTGCTTGAGTAATACACCACCACTCAGTGGGCAAAGCGCAAAATGAAGTTCCTCATAACAAACACAAAATACCATGATTTAGTACTTGTAGTCCTTCCCGTGAAGGCTGTTTGAAGTTGCCTCGTTATGATTGGGAGAGCCTTTGTATGTCCCAAGTGTTGTTTCAGAATTAGCTTTGCATCTGTTTTCATCGGTTCCACTTTAGTATCTTCCTGATTTTCTTCTTCTTCGCCCTCTTCATCATTCTCTTCTTCAAGATCCGCATCTTCTGATTTTCTACTTATTGCACTGAAACTTGATCCCACTGTTTCCTGCTCTAGCTCTTGATCTGATTTTGGATTGGCAGGGTACGAAGAAGCAGATCTGTCGTATGGCGAGTAACAGTTGTGTAGCGTGGCGAGTAACTGCTGTAGCGGATGTCGTCGTTAACCTTACAATACGTTAGAAGACGGAGATAGACGGCTAATAGGAGCATATACAATGGGAAGAGCTTAATGTTCAACCCCTTAAAACATAGGATGACCACCAACACATTTTTTATACCCAAAATAACCTTACCTCTATTCATGCTTGTAATATTTTAGAGATTAGAGATTAAAGATTTAGAGATTCTCTATCTCATCAATATATTTTGTATTTGTTCACTATCTTATACTCCGTATATCTATTAAGACCTGGAGTTCCCTCCTAAAAGGAAACCTGATAGGAGGAGTAGTTCATGTGTAAATATAGTATTTTGTTCATCCAATTTTTTCCGGTATGAGACATTTAACACCCCAGAAGGAGTAGCCCATGTGTTAATATATTTTGTTCATCCAAAGTTTTCCAATGTGGGACATTTAACACCCCTCCTCACGACCAGAAACTTCATCTAGATCGTGCCATCATTCATTTTTTTCATCGGTCCGTTTGTTATCATCCAGCCGTAATTGTCAAATTTTGTTATAACCGTGTCATCACGATTCATAAGGGGCCCCACACGACCACACCATGTGTCACGCCCCAGACCGCAATCCAAGCGCGTATACAACCACCGTATAATTAAGTGACGTCACCCACGAGTCAACCTCACTTAATCATACAAGGCGTTCGAGGAAATAATTCATCCATACTCAATATTAAACATACATAACAACATCACATTAAAACCAATGAATTGCGGAAATATTCAACGGTAAGTCATAAGCCACATACGGCCAACAACATGGGCATGCAAGCCCAAAAGCAGTTTCTAATAAGTAAAATATCCATGAGCATTAATACAGTTGTTTTTAAAACAGAAATGGAGGAAGCACGAACCACGTCTTCTCTCCTTGATTTCTCGAAGCAACATGTGATGGTAGCAACTTCAAGTTCTGCCTGAAACTGTGAGATGCCCCCCCCCCCCCCCCCCCCCCCCCGTGAAGGGGAGGTCAGTACTTTGAAGCATTTGAAAAGTACAATGACAACTATACTAAGTATAATCAATGTTTCAATTTCTAAGACCCTCAAATAGAGTGATATCATAATCTAATGATAGTTCTTCTTTAACCCTTATTATCCTCATAATAAGTTAATTAATTAATTTGTGGGCACTCGGGCCCCTTTTTATGTTCTATAACAATCGTCGTTAACATGACACCGCCCGTAGGTCTTATCATCCTTACGAGACTTGTCACCGCCATCCGAGGCCTCATCGGGCTCTCGGGCCGGAGTCCAACATCCCGCCCCTGGACTCATACTCATCATCCCGTAGATAGGTAAGATCCATTCGGGGTCTTATCTCAAGTGTTACCGCTGTCGGGAGCATCGTAAGGTCTCCGGTTCGTATTCCACCCTAACCCGTGATCACGATGTAAGTCTATGCTATCCAACCCCGCTCTCTAGAGTCGGGAAGGGCCATGGTCCTTACTATTTACCAATATTCTACCGGCTATCCTCAAGAACTACCGAATACACCCGTAGGCCCAATCCTAAATCTAGGATCAATTTATTATAATTCAACCGGCTATCCTCAAGGATTACCGACTACACCCGTAGGCCAACCCTATATCTAGGATCAATTTATTATTCACTTTATCTTGGGCATCCCTTAAGGTCTACCCTTAGTATAACTTAAAGTTCATACATGTCTACCTTAGCATCGCTCAAGACTACTTAAGGTTCACTATTTCACAATCCAACCTTAGGATCAATTTTAGCATAATCTCCTTCCAATACCCTGACTAGTATTTTAATACTAGTCGGATAAATTCTATCAACCGAATTCTCAATTCATAGTCATATAGACAATTTCCAAACTAATTTCTCATTGAAAATATAGTTCATATCAATATACAAAATATAACTTTTAATCACTCATATATTCTTATACGAGGTAAAAAGTATATTTCAACATAAAGTTCATAGTTAATTCCATTCTCAAGTCAACATATTCATAACACATAATCATACACCATTTATTCTTAAATTTGTATATTATGCTCTTTTTCTTTGTAGACAATAGTCTTCTCATTTTTAGGCATTATTAATCATTAATTATACATAAAAACATATTTGATTACCTTAGGTAATATCATGAAATTAACTCACTAATTATAAGCAATATAGTCAGTCATCCTCATCTCGAATTCGCGCTATGAAGTTCTACCCCTCTTGGTTGACCTCCGGCGAAACTCCGGCGACTTTTGACGAACTCCGGCGACAACTCTGGCGACTCTTTCAACTTCGTGAAAGCCCTTGAAATACCTTATACAAGTTCCTAACAAGGTTTTATAATCGTAAAACCCAAATTAATACAAATAACCTCTAAAAGGTTATTTTCCGGCGAAATGGTAATTTTGACTATAAGCCCGTTCTTGGACTTTGAATCACCTTCCAACCCATCTTTCTACATATTTAAATATGTAGAACCATAGCAAGGGCTCCTCATATATGCTATACAAGTCATATGGTGATTAATAAATGAAGGAAAAATCATTATGAGGTCATTACCTTAATACACCTCACTTTTCCTTCTTTTTCCTTCTTTAAATTTCCTCCTTGAACCTTCTTGAGTTTGAGCTTGTCCTTGTTATGGAGTATGGAGTTGCAGAGCTTCCTCTCTCCTTTTTCTTGGTGCTGGCCGAAATATTGGGTGAGGAAAGAGGGGATGTACTTCCCTTTTTGTTTCCTTTAATTTGACCATTATGGGTGAGAGGGCCCCTTTGAGTGTCATAGATGTTCCCCCCATCACTTCAAAGGCTTTCAGCCAACTTTTGAAGCCAATGAGTCCTTATTAGTTGCTAATTTCGTGGGTTGGCCCCCATCCATGTGGGAGGTCACCCCTTTTTGTCCAGAAGTGTACAATCGGTCCCGAAAGTTGTATTTTTCGTACTGTTTTAAATATATTTTATTTTATCGGATCAAATAAAATATATTATGTGTTTTAAATCATTATGGCATGTAGAATGAATATACATTCCCCAACTTTAATTTATAAGTCTCCGAAATACAATTCGAACTGATAACTACTAAATTACAAATACCGGTAATTGGGCCCGTTTGACCAATCAGTCAACACTATGCCTTTTCCCTGGCCCAAATAAAGTATCCACCACTATATAAATATTATCTCAGGAATATCGGGCGGTCCCCGCTCTCGGTATGGGCCCCACGTGAAATTTACTATTCACGCGAAAAAAATAAAAATTTACAACTTCGTAAATTCATTAACCATTCCAATAAGGTTCATTACATTTGGGAACGGTGTCACAAGTTTACTTGCCTTATTTGGGATTTCGTCCCCGAAATCCACATGTCTAATCGAAAAGAACCGGGTACTGCTCCCTCATTGAGACCTCGGTCTCCCATGTTTCTTCTTCGACTCGATCACTCCTACAAAGAACCTTTACCATAGGAATCTCCTTACTCGTCAATTGGTTTACTTGTTGACCAACAATCTTCACCAGTTCAACCGCATATTGCAAGTCCTCACGGATCTCTACCGGTGGTTTCTCAAGAATATGAGATGGGTCTCGTATGTACTTCTTGAGCATTGATACATGAAACACGTCGTGTATCTTCTCAAGTTCTGGTGTTAACTTCAGACGATAAGCCAAAGCCCCAATCCTTTCAAGGATCTCAAATGGACCAATGTATCGGGGGTTAAGCTTTCCCCTCTATACAAATCGAATGATGCCCTTCCAAGGACAAATCCTTAGAAAAACCTCATCACCGACCTCAAACTACAACGGCCTTCACCGTTTGTCGGCATAGCTCCTCTGCCGGTCTTGGGCAGTCTTGAGTCTATCCTGAATGATTTTCACCTTAGCCTAGGCGTGGACCCGGTTCGGGCCGCCCGGCCCGGCCCGTCACTGTGCGGGCCCGGAACCGGCCCGGTTCTCGGGTCCGGGTCCGGTTCGGGCAGAGACCCGGTCGGGTTAGCGGGACCGGGCTCGGGTCCTGGTTTTGGAGGCCCGGCCCGGCCGGGTCGGGCCCGGGCCCGGGCCTAACGGTCCAATATTTAAAAAAAATTTTTTTTTTTTTTGGATTCTTTTGGCTCAACGGCCACCCCAAACGGCTATATAGCCGTTGGGTGGTACCAGGGGGGGGGTCAGGGGGGTTTGGTTGGGGGGTGGGGTGGGGGGTGGGGGTGGGGGGTGGGGGTTAAAAAAAACCTATAAATACTCCTAATTTTAAACATTTTTTCACACCTCTTCTCCAACTCTTCTAAATCCTACTCTCTACTCATCTCCATTCTCCAATTCTCCATATTCTTCTTCTCTAATTCTCTTATTCTCCTTTATATTTTATTTTACTATTTAATACTTATACGATTATTATATCTACTTATATATTAATTATCTACTTATATATATTATTATCTACATATACTATATTGCTTATATTTCTTATCTACTTAATTTCTACTTATATCTCTTAATACATACATACAGAGTACTCTTCTCATCAGGCCGGCCTGACGGGCTGCCCCGTCCGGCCGAGCCCGTTTGGGCATCTTCCCGGTGGAATTTTTTGATGAAATTTTTTGAGCATGTTCCTCATCAAGTCTAGTTTGTCCATACCAAATTTCAGCTCAAAATTCGATCGGGAAGGTCCTCAAATGATTTTTGCAAGTTAACTGGTCCGGAATATGTATTTTCCGGACCAGTTAACTTGCAAAAATCATTTGACGACCTTCCCGATCGAATTTTGAGCTGAAATTTGGTATGGACAAACTAGACTTGATGAGGAACATGCTCAAAAAATTTCATCAAAAAATTCCACCGGGAAGGTGCCCAAACAGGCTCGGCCGGACGGGGCAGCCCGTCAGGCCGGCCTGATGAGATGATTTCTCCATACATACATACTATATCTACTTAATATATACTTTATATAATAAAGTATTAAATATACTTTATAAACTATTACTATATACTTAATACATAATAATATCTACTTCTCTACTTATATTTTATATATACTTATTTTCCAATCTCCAATTCTCCATTATACTCTAATATTTAATTCTTATACAATTATTATATCCACTTAATACATACATTCTACATCTACTTAATATATATTTTATATATTAAAGTATAAAATATAAGTGTATTACTCATCGTATAGTATAGTATACTTATATATTATATAATATAAACATTATATTATATATTACTTACTATAACTAGTATTATACTAGTTAATTAGTTAATTAGCATTCTTGTTACATTTTTCATTATACTAGTTAATTAGTTCATTACCATTATTGTAACATTTTTCATTATACTAGTTAATTACTTAATTAGCATTCTTGTTACATTTTTCATTATACTAGTTAATTAGTTCAATACCATTCTTGTTACATTTTTCATTATACTAGTTAATTAGTTCAATACCATTCTTGTTACATTTTTCATTATACTAATTAAAATACTTCACATTTTATTTAACTAGTTGTTAGTTTGTTACATTTGTCACTATAGTAGTTAACTACTTAATTAGCATTGTTGTTACATTTTTACTTGTACTAGTTATTTACTTCAAAAGTTGCTATAATTTTAATTGTAGAGACACACATTAATTCTACTTTGCAAAAAATTAGTTTGAAGTATTAATTAAAATAGTTTTAATTAGTTGCATTAGTTTTGTATCCATTATTATATTTGTTGTGAATTAATATTTGTTACATTTTTTAGATGGAAGGTGGTAGATATTCGGTTGATTTGGGTAACCTCCAACGCAATCGAAGAAACGAGATTGGGAGGAAGAAATCCCGCAAAGGTAAAGAACTTGCCGGGTCTTCATCTCAAAGTCGAGATGATTTTGAAACGGGTTACCAAAGGCGAGATGGAGATGCGATGTCCGAAGAACAACTCCAACAAGAATTGGCCCGACATAATAACCGCTTTCTACAACAACAACAAATGCCGACGACCATTGACGAAGAGGAGCTTGAGGATGAAGATGTGGAGGAATTGGAACCGGAGACGGCCGAGGAGGAGGGTGCCGGCAGCCACGACGCCGACGCGCCTGCCTCATCCCAAACCGCCACCGGTAATAAATAAAGTAAGTCTGAACTAATGAAAAATAATTTTGATAAATGGAAGGACCCACAAACCGGCTATTGGCACGCAACTTGCAAGTGGTGCAACAACAATTATAGTTTGGGAACCTCCGGCGGATACGGATCCGCCGCAAAGCATCTTAAGGCAAAGCACCCCGTGGAGTATGCAAAATTAGGCGGCGGAACGGGGAAGCAAACTCAAATATCGAGGTTTGCGAATTCTCAACCTTTTGGTAATTTCTCCTACAATGATGCACAAAATTTGACTGGTATGGCTAACTTAATTTGTGAAGAAAATTTGCCTTATTTGTTTTCTGAAAGTCTTGCTTTAAGAGATTATGCACAAGGTAGTTTAAATCCTCAATTTAGAAATTATAGTCGCAAAACTGTTAAGAAAGAAATAATAAGGCTTTATAATGCGGAAAAGGAAAGGTTACAAAATTTTTTTGCAAACTTTGATGGGCGTGTTACTATTTGTTCTGACATATGGGAGGATGATTTTCATCATTTATATTATTTGGGTCTGACTGCACATTATATTGATGAGGATTGGAATATGCATAAACGTGTTCTTGCTTTTCGTGAATTTAATGATCGTCACACCGCTGAACATATTTATATTTTGATTGAGCGTATTTTAATTGAGTATAATTTGATTGATAAGGTGTTTGCTATTGGTTTCGATAATGCTACTAATAATACTGCTGCTATACCTAGATTGCGTGAGTTGTGTGGTGCCAATTCTTTGATGGGTAGATTTTTTCATCAACGGTGTGCATGTCATGTTATAAATTTATGTGTGCAAGACGGTTTAAAAGCGTTAGGAGATTCCATGGAGGTAATAAAGGGGGGGGTTAGACGTATTTGGGGTAATGGTCAACTTAGATTAAAATGGCAAAGTTATTTGACTGAAAGAGGTGTGAGATATGTTGCTTTTCCTAAAGATTTGAGTATTCGTTGGAATAGTACTTATAAATTACTTAAAGTTGTTCTTAGATATAAAGAACATTTTCCTGCTTTTTTAAAAGAACATGATAACTATATTATAAACGCGGCTGAGATCGACACTTGCGAAAAAATTTGTAATGTTTTGATATATTTTTTTAATGCTACTGAAACTTTTAGTCATGTTTATAAACCTACCGCAAACCAATTTATTCCACAAGCTGTTAATCTCGCCGATGCTTTTAAAGAATTTCAAAATGCCGTTTTCGTTCATTATTTTTGTGATTATATGAAGGAAAAGTTTTTAAAATATTATGCGCAGATTCCCCATATTTATGGTATTGCATTTATTCTCGATCCTCGTTATAGACTTGCTAATTTGGAAGATTGTTTCAACTTCTATTATCTTGCGTTTTTCGGTGAATTTCCAATGTATGAGGATAACCCCATAGATCCGAAAACGGAATACAACGAGGTTAGTACTTTATTTTATGCCTTATTTAATGAGTTTCGCGCACAATATAGCAACGCTCCCCCTCCCCCGTCACGAACATCTTCATCTAAAGGAAAATCGATTTTTAAATCTGCATTTGGCAATCTTATGAAAAAAACTAAAACAACTCACGTCACTGAACAAAGCGCATTGAATGAGATTACTTTGTATTTAACACATGAAGTTGATTTTGAAGAAAATGATGACTTTGACGTTCTAGACTGGTGGAAGTCAAAAGAAAGAACGTTCCCGAT